TTAATTAGATAATAAGTTCGGAAGTTCGGTTGTTGTTCAAAATTTGACCTTCCCTTAGTAAAATATATTGTTGCTTCAAGAAAAGAAATATTGTCGAAGGTCATTTTGTTAGATATATGTGTTCATTACTATTACTATTTTTGTAATCTTCCTCATTCTCATGATTTAGGTAATTGGTTTTGTCTTTACAATATTTGTTTATATGCCTATAAAATAAACCGTTATGACATTGTGCATTTGGAGGTATTTAGGTGGTTGTTACTTGTTACCTAGGTTGGAAAACAGATATCTACATATCGTGGGATGATATTTCCGTCAAATATGATCAGTATGGTAAAGACTAAACACCGGTACATATATGATGGGTTTTATTATTTATATAATTGCATTCATTCGTTTGATTCTCAATACTTTGCAAGGGCTTTTAATAATGTTTTAGCTCGTCTTCGTTAAAAAACGTACTTATTGTATTTACTACATCTATACAAGTTAACGTTACTGTATGGGATATACACCTTATATCCTTTGTTGGTTGAAGTATATCATCTAATAGCATTGAATTAGCATCATCTGTACTATTAAATTCCGCTACTACTTTATTTTTTCTGATATTTTCATTTTGATATGTTCTAGGTTGAGATCACATATTTCTTTAGCTATTTTCAACTGTGAACGTCTACCTATATTTTCATATTTCTTTGATACAATAACCCTCAATGTACATAACTCTTTCTCTTTCTCCATTTGATTTCTTTTTCCCTATTTCCTTGTTTTCATTTCTTTCAATCTGTGAAGCAGTATCGGAAAACCTTGTATCTCATATATAATATGTATTTCTCATTTCTCCTGATGTAATAATGCCTACTGTCCCTATAACTACTATCATTGTTTTGAATTTGAACTGTACTGATTCCCTTATCTGGTTCTGAATCTGAGTCATAATTAATTTTTTGGGGAAGATCCCTCTTCCCTCTCGCTCCCCAACATGCCAACAATATCTATGTTACCTAATAATAAAACCAAGAAGTCAAAAGAGAGAAAATAAAACCCAAAGTAAGAGTATGAAGAAAATATTTAAAAAATAAAAAGTTTACCAGCACACTTTCTATTGCTCGCCAAAACGATGTTTTCCTATTTAATTTCTTTAAAGTGGGATTCGTCTAAGGATCGAAACTGAATTAATGCTCCAGAAACCTAGCTCATTAAAGAAAGAAGAAGATTTCAATATTTTTGTCCTAACCTCATAGTTCTCCAGTTGTGGCAAAGGTAAACAAAAAATAATGTAAACATTGTAAAAACTATCATAACAAGTGGTACATAGTATATTTCAAAAATTTGAAATGCCTACTGTTATTTTATTGGACGTATCTTTATCTATGACAAGACCTGTCCATCTCAGTGATGGAATTGAAACTACTAGAAAGCAACTGGCAGAAATCGGAATAAATGCTTTTCTGGATCATCTCAGTATTCACTCCAAATTAGAATTCATATCCCTGGTAAGTGAAAAATACAAAATGCAATGCAAAAAATGATCTTTTAATGAAAATGAACAACAGTGCCAGTTTTACTAGAAAAAAAACTCGTGACATAGATGAACAGCATCAATCACTACAATTCAATTATGGGTCTTAAACATTTTAAAACAAGAAAATCAACTTGAAAGTTCATAAATTGACAAAATAATTATTGAGATTCTATTGTATTTATGATTGACATCATGACTATTGTGTATGTATCATATGGTTTACACAATTTACAATTATGATAGAGGATAGAGGTTGTTATTTTCAATAACCATCATATTGTATAAATGAAATACCCTTATTAACTTAACACGTTTGTTACAATATAAAAATCTTATGAAATGGAAGCAGTATCTGGACATCGTTTTGGACATATACGCTGCATCAGTAAAACATTGTAAGAGTATCATTTTATCAACTATTTTGATATTACAGACTTTCTTTTCAGGTTTGATAGTATTTAATTTTTCAAGTTCTATTTTAATGCACGAGTTGATTACCTTAACAATTACATAAAAATATACCCCTTTCAATTTAATTGTAGTGGTAAATAGTAGTAAATTAATACTCATACTGGTATGTTTTGTGTTTACTTTCTTTTTTCTTTACTTTCTTTTTTGGAGAACAATTTGCATTAAAAAAACGTAAGAGTATCAATTTAAGAACTGTTTGAGGTTTCACAGACTTTTCTATTCTCAGGTTTAGTAGTATTTTATTTTCTATGTTCTATTATTTGCCTAAATACCTTAACAAATGAAGTTAACATTTTACATTTAATACTACTTGTTGGTATTTATTATAATGGGGAATGTTCCTCAATTTGGGTTATTATTTGAACAAAATAAAGTTGAGTTTAATTCATGAGTTTTTCAAATTCACTTCGAAAAGTATTCAAATTGATGTTTCAAATGTTGGGTTTTAATTTTTAAAGGGATTTGTTTCTAATTCACATATTGGCAACAGCACCTATATCAAGTTGAAATAATTTATAAGTACAGATATTCTACTTCAGAAAAGGAAAATTATCTTTATAAATCAACAATTAAGGTGAAATATAAATTATAGTTCAATACCACCTCCATAAGCCACATAAACAACAGTTGTTTTGTTATTTATTTATATAGAGGAAGATAGGTTAGGTGCACAAAATGTCATATGTCACAGAATGTCTCGGAACTCGGAACATAAGTAAACAGAACAGCACGCCTCTGAAATATGTTATCTTTGTTTGTCTCATACAGGTAACAGATTCATTGTCCTTTATTAGATATAACTGATGTTGTCAAATGGTGAAATAGAAACGAATCCCTTTAAATGTTGAATGCATTATTTCATTCTTCTCTTTTAAGTATTTAAATAATTTTTTAAAGAAAAAGGTTGAAATGATAAGTTTAAAATGCGTTGTTTTAGAGCTCTTTTATGAAAACTATTTGATTTTCGTCAGGAGGAACATTCCTCATTGGCATATATCAAATGATTTCAATCCGAATCCCAAAAATATTCAAAGCAAATAATTAAAGAACCATCTCAAAACTGTCTATTCTACAATCAGAATTTTCACTCTCAAGTGATAAATTTTGTACCAAAATGATAAAAAAAATGCAACCAAAGATGTTAAGTGTGATTTGGTATATAAATACATTTTAAATATTTTAGTGAAGAACAATTCCTAATTTTGAAACTGTGGGAGAAATTCATTTATGTAAAATTTTGATATGTTTGCTCTACGATAAATTTTTATCTATGTAAAACTTTTAAAACTTGGCAGATGATAAATAGTTGATAGTTTTAATATGATACTCGATATATTGTTTCAAATCATGAGATAAACATTTTTATGTGATAAACATGAATAAGTATTTCTCATAATTCAATGATAATTTGTGGTATCTCAGTCATGACAAATTTTTATCAAGATGAAAAATAATGTTATTCATTATTTCCTGTAAATTATTTCCTCCCATATTAGGAAAAATTCTGGTCTGAGTGTCATTTATATATCGAGAAAGTTTAACCCACAAATTTTTCCCATACATACAAACTGCTCTCTATTAGAACTGCTCTATATACAAAATGTTTAATGGTTTTGAGATCTTCAAACCCGGCAAAAAGTGACACTGTTCACAAATAATTTTAGGACCAACTGTATACAAAGCCTCTGATATGATCTACCATATCAAATGTTTTTCTAAGGTCTATTGAGAGCAATGCACATTTCATATTTGAATCATATTGTTTTCGAAACCCATATTGACCATCAATACAATAATTTTGCTTTTTCAAAATATTAAAATAATTTGGAATGCATTAGTTTCTCAATGATTTTGGAAAGAACTGGCAAAACTGAAATAGATTAGTAATTGACCATATGTTTTCCTGTTTTGAATATTGGTTTCACTTTAGCAGTTTTCATTTTATCCAGTACTAAGCTAGTGAGAAAGGACAAATTATTGAATATTTCATTATGAATTTCGTTTGAGTCTTTATAACTAGACAAAGTTTCATCAAGAAATTTGAGCTATTTTTATTTTCAAAGTAACTGATTATTATTTTAACGGATTTGTTTTCAAACAGAAGACGTTTTGTGATATGAATGTCTACCATGACCCCTTTATGATCACTTAATGAGTTCTCAATAATAGCAATTTCACTTTTTTCCGTATATGATCTATCAAAGATGAAATTTATTTTCATAGTTTTCGGAATGGTATTTACATTTCAGATAGTTTCTATTTTCACACTGATCTGCATCTCTAGTTTTTCTATAAAAATACCTTTGTTGTCCCACATGAACCAACCTATTTTATTATGGTGCAACTTGTAATGTTTTTGTTTTGCCACATCTTTCCAACAGTATATCCTTTTTTGAGCCCAGTTTCGTCCAGACAATAAATCTTTCTATTTTCACATGGAAACTCTTAGGTAATGTCTCCTCCAGCAAATAATTTCATCACTTTCGAATACGAGTGATTTTGTGTTTTCTTTTTCTCAGCTGAAGATTAATTGTTTTAAAAGTTTTCCATAATTTCGTTCTGCCGATCATTGGAGACATACCTTGGTTTTATTTTAAGGCTCCCATTATTTTGTTGAAGGTCGGTATTTCTTTCTTAAAATAAAATGAATGTACTGCAAGTTTGGAGTTTTCATCAACAAGCTCAGTTTTTCTTCCTAAATATGGTTTTGGTGGTTTCACATGTTCATTTTTTTTAACTTTTGAATTTATATATCGAAAATTTTGAAACTCCCGTCATTTGCAAACACATTTCCGCCAGATTTTATCAAAGGTAATCGAAAGATTATGACATATAAGAGCGTGCATTTTATCAGTTCGGACTTTCATTGTCTAATATGATATAAATTGATTTGAAATCCCTGAATGAATCTGTAAAAAATTAAAAAGGTTGGCTGAAAAAACAATTTTATTAAGCAGCTCGTGCTATTAGTTTAATTTTTTGGTTGTTGCGTGTATGTTATTTCATTGTAATTTCAGTTTTTTGCTTAATAAAATTGTTTTTTCAGCTAACCTTTTTAATTTTTTACAGATTCTTTCAGGGATTTCAAATAAATTTATATCATATTAGACAATGAAAGTCCTAACTGATGAAATGCAGCACGAAACATTGTCAAACACCTTTAAACATATAAGAGCGTCATATACATTACATTCGTTTCATTGAGGGGAAAACTGAAATAACCATTTTTATTTACACTAAGTATAATTTACTAATAACATCAATGATTATTGCGCAAGGACTTTACCAATAATTCATATTGTTCAGTAATAAAGTACTTAATTGAAGCACTATCACATCGGATCGAATCATAGCATTCTCTTTTCCAGCGACAATTTAAAAAATCTCCGGTTTGCCCGATTTAATCAGGTAAGCTGTACAGCTATGTGATATATTCAAAAGCGCTTTCCATAGAAAGTATTGAAAACACACAAATTTTGGGTGTTCAATAATTGTGTTGATGGGTGTTGATTAATAATGCGAGGCTAGCCTCTGTGAGGAATCTTGCATAAATGTCTGTCGGATATAATTCAATATCTAGCGTGGTATTAGGTTAGGTTAAATTAGGTTAGGTCCAAAGTCAGTGGGTCTATTCGACCCTCCACCGCAACCCGCAAGGGTTTATTGTGACTCAAACCCAGCTTCTTAACGAAGCCGATTAGTTTGTATGGTGAGTGGTCTTTCAGGTCAGATGGTAAGACGACAACTCTACCGAACTCTAAAGACCTGATTCGGTCCCCAGCGGGGCAGGCACAAAGTATATGCTCTGTTAATGAGGTAGTCGGATAGTCAAGTTGTAAGATTGCCACCTTGATACCCACGACAAACTTCCCATATGAGGATTTTTGCAAGTCAGCTACACCTGACGATGCCTTAGATTCAGCCGTGCCAGCGTGGTTATTAGTCGGGGAAGTAGTTATTTTTCGACAGACATTTACCACACCCTACTGTGTAGGTAGTTGGGAGTAAATAATGTTTCGAATTTTATTTGGAAATATTTATGTCCTTATAGATATTTTTGTTACTCACCGTATACATACAACTGTCGTTTTTGAGATTTGTTATATCAAATCACACAACAAGTGAATAACTTATGGCAGGAATGACGATCTTACATAAGAATAATTCGAACAAACGCACCTACTATTCAGTCAAAGATATTTTGAAAAGTGCACAAATATTGCCCATATTGAAAAATGTGATGATGTCTGAATCTCAGATATCGATGTGAATTCAAATATAAAACACTAGCGAGTCGTCCCGGCTCCACGCGGGTGCAATGCACCGGAAATTTATGGGCATGGAGAAACAGTAATGAAAAGGTAACTTAATTTTATGAACGCGCCTTTTTCCCCGCGGCTAGCGCCCCAGTTGAAAAATTTATAATACTTTCCTATTTTACATTTACAACATCAAACGAGTCTACATAGAAAATGTTAGCCTCCGAAAATATAGCGGTACGGAGAAACAGTGATGAAAAGGTAGTTTTCATATGTAAACGCGTCACTTTCATCCCCAGTGGGAACGCTCCAATTAAAATATTTGAAAATTCTTTCTTATTGCAATGTACAACATAAAATGAACCTACCTACAAAATTTCAGCCTACGAAAATCATGAGAAAAACTAGTCTAACGAATAGTCAGTTTCTCAGAATCCATGAACACAGAGTTATAAGTTCTGTGAGTTATGTGGTCCGCGGTAACGAACAGCGCCATTGCAAATATTCATGTCACAGAATACCTGCAAAACTGTATGGTAGACTGACTAAGAAATACCAAGTGGCAACGCTGTTGACGGATGACATATAACGTCTTGGCGTGAAGTGTAAAGTAGTAAAATTCTTTTTCTTTTGTAATTTGGCAGTTGACATACGCCATGCGGGAAATTTTGTTTTGTGTTAAACATTTCTAAAATTGCTAAAAAAGACCTAATTTTATTCGAAACAAGTGGAAAACAAATCATTTCCAGTGTCCAAACAGTACACCATATAAGGCTTTTCGAGCTTCCTCTCCAAAAAGTGATATCTAGTAAATATGGGGGAAGCTAAAGTGATGAAAATCAACAATTGCAAAACAGTAGCAGTGAGATATCGATTTCTTTTTGAAAATTCCGGCGGAGGAGAACCTCTCGTGAAATTTTTACCACATCCTGTTATTGCGTTGAAAGTGGACCCTCCTAAGGAAAAAGAAACTGATGAAATTATTCCAGAAAATGTTGAATATGAAGATGATATGAAATACCTGAGAAGTTTGGACCCTAAAGAATGGAAGAGTCAAGATCACTATAAAGTACTTGGTATACCTCGGCTAAGATATAGAGCTACAGATGAAATAATCAAAACAGCTTATCGCAAGAAAGTATTGAAGCACCACCCTGACAAAAGGAAAGCTTTGGGAGAGGAAATCAAAACAGACGATGACTATTTCACTTGTATAACAATGGCTTATGAAACTCTAGGAAATATATCCAGAAGAAGGGCTTACGATTCCGTGGATCCACAATTTGACAATAATATTCCGAGTATTAGTGATATTAAGAAAGACTTTTACTCCACCTTCAAGTATTATTTTGGTCTGAACTCACGTTGGTCAGAAAAGCCAAGGGTCCCTCAATTAGGTAATGCAGATTCATCTCGTGAGGAAGTTGAGAAATTTTATTCATTCTGGTATGATTTCAAGTCATGGCGTGAGTTCTCTTACGAAGATGAAGAAGATAAAGACAAATGTCAAGATCGTGATGAGAGAAGGTAAGACTTTTAAGTACATTCAATAATTCATATGAGGTTTCTGGTAAATATTCAATTTGATGAGTCACATTAGCTTTTCACAAATTGTCAATACTCTTGCATATCATTTATGTCCACTGATCACACGAATCTGGGTTTAAATTTGTGTGCTCCTGTCTCTTTTCAGAGTTACAACCTCTCAAAATTGATACCTTCAAACTATTACGTTGCAGATGTTTTTTCACTTGCCAGTCCCTTTTTTTCAGAAAAAAAGCTCAATTTCTTCAAAATGGTAATTTTTCCAAACAACAGTATTATGAACAAAATTGTTCATGAAAGTAAAAAATTATATACAAGGAATTTTTTTGCCAGTTTTGCAGTGTTACAAAATTGAAGTAGAAATTGATGCCACATCACATTTATGAAATTTTTGTTAAGGTGAGGAATGTCAACTTTTCTTTTAATTAGAATATATCTTCCACAAATAATTCCACATTTGTGTTTTGTGTAGTATTTCATTCAAAAGAAGATTGAACTGACAAGAAAGTGGTGATCTTTGTTGTTTCTCAGGGTAAAGCTTTTAAAATAAATGCGGACATTCATACACCATCCTATGAAATGAAAGTGTGGAACATGAACACTCCCATAGATTTACAAGAGCCCTTAAAAGGAATATTTACCAGATTTCTTAACACCAGAAGATCTTTAGATCTATATTATTAACTATGGATGAAGATCAGTCTTCATTATTTCATTTGAGAGAAAGTCTAATTTATTGCATCAACTTTTCATGAAGTTTTGATGTTCTGGGTATGAAGAAGAATAATCAAATGCAACATTTTCAATTATTCTAGTAACTTTCTTGTTTTTACTAAAAAGTACTTTATCCTTGTCAGATTTTCAGATTCATTTGAATATTATTTGAATGGCTATTTATTAGAGATATTCATCAAATTAATGAGATACTCCTATGCCGATTTATTGATTATGCAAATTAATGGCCCATCAATAATGAAATTCAAAGGGATATATATCACTAATTTTTTTGCATAATTATTTCCATACTCCATTCTTCATTCAGGTTTTCATCAAATTTATGTTTGTATACAATATTTTTTTGCTTTTTTATTCTTCAGTGACTGTTGACGAATCGACAATAAGAAGTTGATCCCCAGTTTTGATTTTTGAGCTGTTTGTATGAAGATGAAGGCTGGCTAATGGAAAAATTCAGACTGAAAACATACCAGTCTCATTTCCATGTTTATCTTTTGGCATTACAGTAGAATTTCACTAATCCGGCACTTCAATAGAAAAATAAGTCCCAATAATCCGGAACTCTCCGTCCGCGCCTCCCTCACCCCTCTCAGCCTATGTGCTCCGCCGTCTAGCAGTCTAACCTCAAAACTTATTACGTGTACGTGCGTACGTAGTACATATTTACCTGTTGTTTCAAAGTGAACATAGTGTGTAGTTGAAAATTTCGAGTGAACGGAAACACAAGACACTATTTAATTTATTATGATTTTTTTTCTATAATTTAGTAATCCGAACATTTCAATAATCCGGCACCTTCTGGTTTTTAATAGTGCTGGATTAGTGAGATTTTACTGTATTTTTCTCACATTGTGACTCACATTTTGACAGATTTATCATTTGTTTCACCATATTTATGAAAATCTGCAATAGGATGGATTTGTATTCCAATCTCTTCAATAATTTATTCAGTTTGGGGCCTTTTCATCAAGACAAAGTCTATTGACATTTAAAGGGTTATGATCATTGAAATAATTTTCATAATTTTTCCTTTGTGCTGTTCTTTACTCATTTCATTTTCGTTCAATAATTAACAAATATTAATTATTATTCTTTCACAGGTATGTTGACAAATTGAACAAAGCAGAACGACTTCGGAAAAAGAAAGAAGAAATGGTAAGGATTCGACAGCTCGTTGATTTGGCTTACAATAATGATCCAAGAATAGCCAAGTTCAAACAAGATGACAAAGACAGAAAGTTGGCTGCAAAGAGAGCCAGGCAGACTGCTGCACAAGCCAAAAAAGCAGAAGAGGAAAGGGTTTTGAGGGAGGCCGTTCTGGCTAAAGAACAAGCTGAAGCAGCAGAAAGGGCAAAGATAGAAGCCAAACGACAAGAACGTGAGGTACAGAAAAAAGCGCTAAAAAAAGAGAGAAAAACTCTTCGAGCAATATGTAAGGAAAATGATTATTTTGCTGAAAACAGTGAACAAAACCTAGCCCACCTAACTGGTATCGAGAGTATTTGTGAGAGGCTATCTTTGAATGAACTTGAGGAACTCAATGAAAACTTGAAAAATAATGGCAAATCTGCGTTCCTTAAGGCTTTGAAAGAAAATAAGGCTCACCTAGAAAAAGAGCGTCTCTCTGTACTCGATTCTACAAAACCAAAAACCACTGTTGTCAGTAAATCAACCACTGTAATGGTTGCACCTGAGTGGACAGAAGACAATATTCAACTTCTTGTCAAAGCAGTGAACCTCTTTCCTGCAGGAACCAATCAGAGGTGGGAGGTTGTTTCTAATTTCATCAATCAGCACGGTACCTTTTCCAAGAACTCCAATAAATTCAATGCTAAAATGGTACTGGCCAAAGCGAAAGATTTACAGAATACAGATTTCTCAAAGAATAATTTGAAGGAAGTTGCCAATAAACAAGCCTTTGATAATTTCAAAAAAGATAAAAAAAATGTTCTGCATATTGATGAGAATGGTATATCAAAAAATATGGATAATTTGACTTTAAACGGTGATGATTCAAAACCAACGCAAGGTGTAAAGAAGTCATCCTCGAATAGCGAAATTAAAACCAAAACAGAACTTCCCTGGACTACATCAGAGCAACAGTTGTTGGAGCAAGCCTTGAAAACATATCCGGCATCTACTGCAGAACGATGGGACAGAATAGCGGAGTGCATTCCAAACAGAACTAAAAAAGAATGCATGAAACGATATAAAGAACTGGTGGAAACAGTAAAAGCGAAGAAAGCTGCTCAGGCTGCAGTCACAAAATAATGTCCGAGATTATTAGGCTTCTTGAAAATTATATTTATTTACAAGTTAAATCTGTTTGCCAGAAGTGTTGATTGTGTTGAACTACAGATAACTTGATTGAATCTTTTTTCTGTTATTCAATAAAATATCCTATATTAGTATTTAGTGGGAGTTTCTTTTTTTATTTAAGGTATTGAATTGATGATCTGAACAATTGATTTGGATATGGAATGGTAAATCGAATTATTTTTTATTTGAATGTTGCGATCATATATGCAACATCATCAACATCAAATTTAATATTACATGCAGATTCTAAAGAAGTGGGAACTATTAACTTTTTGAATATAACCTATATTCTAAGGATAACTCTTTCATTGTGCCAGAAATAAGTGGAAAACTCAATATCTAAATTTGATTTCTAACTTTCTTGTCAAGAAAGATTTGTTTTTTTTGAGTGGCCTTCCAAAAGTATGTCCAGCAAAAATTTAAAATTTCTAGAGTGTCATATTACAAATCTGTATATAAATAACATACATTTATTAGCATAAGGAAATAACATTAATTTACTGATTGTTTATAAATGTTTTGTAAATATATATGGGGATCGCCCATAGATGATACTGGGGAAAATACTCTTGAAAATCCTTATTTTAAAGTGCTTTGTTTATGAAACGAGCACAGAAAATGTGTGTTTCTCTACTATATTATGCATATTATATACATATAAACCTTCCTCTTGAATCACTTAATCTATTAAAAAACCCTCATCAAAATCTGTTGGGTAGTAATATAAACTCAAAAAACTTGGTTTCAATATATAAATTTGATGATTTACGCGACCCTGATTCATCTTCATTTCAGTTGATTAACCAGGTCTAGTGCATTAATTCCCTGTAAAACTGAAAGCTGCATTGTCTAGCCTTCAACTGTTTTTATGCCATGTGGGTAATTACCAATATTAATTTACAAAACCATATTTGAAAAACAATATCTGACCTTTTATAAAGTATAAAAATAATCGGAATTCATTGGTAATGCTGACAAATACAAATAACACTTGATATTTGATAAGTAGAAATGGGATCTCACACGTAAAATCTGTAAAAAAACACTTTTCCCATACGAATTCAAGGTGCTGCCCCTTGATGCTTGTTTCACTAACCAAGTTTGCATCATCAGAATCAGTGTATACTCTGTCCAACCAAGCAACAGAGTGCTCCAAAATATTATCATGCATAGTGCACGTTATCTCCCAGACAAGGCTGGGTATAGGAATTTGATTTTTTTTAGGTGGACTGTAGGGATACAACTAAGCAGTTTTTCAGCCGTATCAGTACTTGACATTTTAAACTTTAAAATACCGTATTTGTACACATCGTAGGCATTAAAACGTACGGAAGTGTAGAAGGGCCACAGATTATTTGTTTATTTGATCCACAATAATTTCGAATTAAAAGTTGAAATTTCGACTTTTATCTCGTAATTTCGACTTTTATCTCGTAATTTCGACTTTTATCTCAAGTAGAAATATGGTTCTTTGAGTGCATTATAATTTACTATGAGGTGATGTTAACAGGAGGTTCGTGAAATTGTTGTGTGATTGAAATTTCAATGGAAATATGTGGTTGAAAGTGGGATCAACCTCGAAATTACGAGATAAAAGTCGAAATTACGAGATGAAAGTCGAAATTTCGAGATAAAAGTCTAAATTATGAGATAAAAGTAGAAATTACGACTTTTAAGTAGAAATTATGGTGAATCAAATAAACAAATAATATTTGGCCCTTCTACGCTTCCGTAAAAACGTAACTGAGCACTCCAACACTGTAATAATGAACGCCGCCAACCGATTGCAGTTAAATATGTTAATTTTACCCAATAGATGCAAATGTGCATGGTGATCATGCTTTGATCTGGCGTGGGAATAGTGTTTTGAATAGAAATAATTGATGAGTACTTATTTTTTTAAATAACACTGGTCAACAAAATTTTAACTGTTTTTTGTCACATGAAAACTTATATCAAACTTTGAATCTACTAGGGTCACTAACCAATATTGTATCAATGAAAAAAAATTAACACAACAGGTTTTTGTCTTGACATCAAAGCATATATTTTGGTGAAAATTACAAAAATCAACTATA